TTAGTCTGTCCCACGGAGGTAGCTTCTCGACAGGAATTTGGTGCAGGTGCAACTACCGATCCGATCCGATCGGATCCGATCGGATCGAATCAAGCCATACAAATTTCAAGTATAAAAACTTCAATCACACACAGATCATGGCGCAAAATTCCAAACTCAACGAAGGGAAGAAGTGGCGAGCCAATGCCGTGATGTGCTGGTAGACACTGCCAGGGAGAGGTATCACACTTGGACTTGAGCTTCGAGGAGCGGATAGTTCGGGCGGTGAAGTGGTAAGCGGTGGGGCGGACAGCGCGGCAATGATCTTGATTCAAGTACATGTACAAGTCGCCAATCAAGACTCTTGATGAGCGACTTGTACATGTTCGGCTCGCCATGGACAGCTTCACAGCGGGACGTGGAAGTTCCCGGGCACTTCGATGAGCTGGGTGGTGCTCAACAACAAGCAGGCAGAAGTGCTGGTACGACGTGGCTACAGCGTTGCAGGCGTGTCGCCGACGCTGTTGGATATATGCTCATTAATTTTCCGCCGGAGTCTGCAGTGGGCTAGCCGCAGACGTAATCGGTGGCGTAGTTTTCGGATGTGTTCCGGGAGTCTCTATTGCTGGTATTCCGCGATAAACGAGATGCTGCACTGAATATACGGAAGGTGCGTCTGCTGACGATTTCATGACGGCGTCCCGACGGGTAGCGTAGAGCCACACACAATAAAATTCGTCACTTTCCTCTGCCTTAGGCTCCTACGAAAAACACTTCCTAGCAGAAAACTTCTTGCTAGGACTCCTGCTGCAGGAAAACTCATCCTGGAGACGAACAACACGTACGGTACGACAATATGACCTCAAATATTTAATGCAGAACGTCTTAAATCGTTTCATAGAATCGTAAAGGTTTTAAATGTCATTGGGTAGACTCTATACCTACAAGAACGTATTTCTTGTGAATCCCAGCACAAGGGACTATATCATTTTTTGTGTTTCTTCTAGAATCTTATACATTTTTTGATTGGATCCGATCGATCGATCAATCGGATTCAATCGAATAAGATCGAAACGAATTCAACCTCGATCGGATTAGTCAGACGAGACATATCGATTGATCCGATTCAATCCATTTCCCAAGCCTAACTTTGGATGTAGATGCTAACCCTCCGACTTTAATCAGCTTAGATTTATCCGTGACTCGAGCTACGTTGCCAGATTGAGAGACGTTTTCCGTTTTGCGAATTGATGTAGAGTTATAGTCGTAGGATAATTGCAGAGAATGCATAGAAATAAAAAGGTTATATTCAATGAGGGCAGAACTACCACTGTATTCATTTAAAACTTGTCCTGTTACCCAAGTAGATCGTGATATAGTTGAACGTTGTAGCAAACATAAATAAATTACTAGGTTTGGCGTATGTGGCTGGGCTGTCCTTGCGAGGCATCGGATAAGGGCGCTGCATCTGCCAACTTCCCCTACCATTTGTAGTACTGCTGAAACTGTTTTTGTAGTTTAACCTTTTTATTCGGTCCGTAAAGTTGTGCGAGGCTCTCTGGTGTGACGTTTTTTCGGTACATATCTTCCAGCTTCATCAGGAACCTGTTGTGCGGTTTCATCTTGTTGACGCTGTCTTTTGGCCTGCTAAAAAATCTGCGATGGTTGATATCATGGTTCTTTAGTCGTGACCATTTCCGCCCGCAGCCAGAGCACCAGCATCGATTTTCCTCCACATCACATCTCGTAGCTGTCGATGTTCCTTGGGTTCTTGGGTTTCAAACTGACGAGTTACCAGGTCTTGTACACCCTAGACACGCGAAGAGCCAGCCGCTACGCCGAAACTAGAGGCACCTGTCCAAACTACAAGAAGGAAGCACTTCGTCAATTACACTGCTTAATCTGTAAAAAAAAGACAAGTGCTGAATTTGGCAAGTAGACAATTGATACGTACCTCCTCCGTACTCAAAAATTAGGGACATTTGGACAGTGGGAACGATTGGTCACCAATTCACGAAAGCAGCACTACAATTTTTAACATTGTTTATTTACTTATTTGTCGCCGCGTAAACTGCGTTACACGTAACGTACCACCCAAGACTTAAACACTACCTAAATGGTGCTTTTCAGTCCCGCCTACTTAAGTAAGAGTGTACTATTAAGAGTATAATACCAAAACTTGGTATGTACGGTTTACCATACGCTTATTAAATTTAATACCGTACGGTTTATCATGCTTACCGTACGGTTTATCATACGCTTACCGTACGGCTTACTACTCGTGACTAAACAGACTGAGAAGCTACAAGAGAGTGTTCAGTAGACAACCTCCTACGTCGGCCAAGATACTCACGACCCCGATTAGAGGAAGACCGCGACACATTTCAAGTCTTGCCACCGATCTGGTCAAGGAAATCATGGGGGAACTCGATACACGCGACGAATCGAATGGTACGAGTTCCGACAACATCTCGAGTACCTTGACCGCCGCGTGATGGAGATCAACACTTATATCGAAACACACGTTCTAGGATAATTATCTACGCTCTAGAAATAGAACAGACAACAGACTAAAAGCTAAAATTGAAGTAAATGCACATGCCGGTTATAATACCTATCAGTGATAGCTATTTTGCATGTGTCACGATTAAATTGGCGGCCAGTCAGATTCCACATTGGGGGTAATTTGGTGGACGATCCAAGCATCGTACACTCCGTGTACGGCCAACGACAAACAAGAAAGCGTCAAGAAACGAACACAGCAAACAGCTTCCAACAGACAAGGACGAACCTTTGTTGCAAGCGTCGTGACTGCATCCAGCACTCAAAACCGAGGCGCCTGTAACCCTAGACAAGAGTGAGGGGAGCCCTATTTATTGTAGGCGCTCTCTTTGATTAATTGGGCTTCAATAAGGGGATAAACCTCGTCCGAGTGTGTTGCATGTTGTTTGTTGACCTCTTTCTTCTCCTCACACTCGGGTCACAGCGAGGATTTTAGTGACAAAAGGAGAATGAAATGATGGGGTTTCAGTGGTGTGTGTAGGACTCGATGTGTATTTACGTGCTTCTCCGCTTGTAGACAGTGCTTACCCACTGGTTGACTATTGTTCCAAGTGTCTCTTGTTACCTCGTTTTGCTGTTTGGAGTGTGTCTGGTGATTGATACACAGTGCTCTTATCCTGCTCTCTGCTTGGCTCCATGTCTGTTGGCTGTGGCTCGGGTGTGTCACGTGCTGCTGTTGCGTCTTTTGGAGTTTGTTCCTCGAGTTTATTGCAAGTTTCCGCCAAGTATGTTCCAAGTATCGGGGAGCACAATGGAGTAGCGGATGGCGAATGTAAGTGCAGTGCAAATGGTGCTGGAGGTGCAGAGGAATTGCTGCGAGGGGCTGCACACGGTGGCGGTGCTGAGATCTTCCAAAGGGTTGCCGTTCGACTGTGTTCGAGCCCATGAGACCACCTAATATCGGTCGCAGTGCGCGCAAAGCCCAAATTACATGTAAAGTACTGCTCCACTCAATGTAAAACAACACAAATACACCGGTACACTTTGTTCCAGATCTCCACCACCCATCGCTTTGTGACAAGGAGACTCCAATCCCCCTCTCCACTCCATACCGGCAGCCACAAGACCAGACGACGTATACACACCACCCTGATGTCCCTACAGCAAGTCCATGAGTCTTGAAGTCTCCACACGCACGCTGTCCCTCGCTATAAAGTCTCCATCATCGGCCGCCATGTACAGATTGCGAATAAAGTATCAAAAGTTTGCTTCTTAACCGATTCTCAGAATAGAAACCTGATAAATCGGATTGATTGCAGCCGCTCAGTAGTTTATTTGTCAAATAGCGAGTTCTAAAAACATTAGATTACAATTGACTACTGGTTCAGCAATCTGTATTTGCCATTGCAGTTTTGTTTCTTTCTCTCGTTGCCCACCAAACATAACGCTAAACACGAAGCTCGAGCTTAGATGCAGGTGCTGGTCTTTCTTTCATATCCCTCAAACGTAGCCATTTTGAAGCGTCGTCGGCTACGTAGTACTGGAGACGATGGTCGAGCCAGCAGTGTTTCCTGCCTTGGCAAGAGCAAAAACGCTCTTTCTACTTCGGAATCGATCCACAAACGTCACGAACGAGAAGCCACAGTGTATCATCAAGCTCAAGGTGTTTTAAGTTTCAGCTACCTAAAGGAAATACGAGTTCGCCCACAAGAACCACATCGTGGTGCAGGACCGCGTCGATACCCTTGTGCACTCGCTGACTTCTGCTCGGATTTTGATAAGCATTTCCGGCTCATTGACAACGACTTGTCGATTCTGAATACGTCGGTAAGACGGGAGTACCAACGTGAATCTCTAGCTCTTGAGAAGGGCTGTTGGGTTTGAATGTAAACGTTAATGGGGTACCTCTCGTAAATCAGGAGGAAGTACGGGTTTGTCGTGTTCGACCACGCGTTAGTGAAATCGCCCTCTGGTTAACATCTAAAATCTCAACTGTAAAGCAACCACAGACGAGTCCGAGGGCACTTAGTCGAGCTGCTATGCTAGCACATCAAGCGATAAAGGCGTGTGTTCTTCAGTCATATGCTCGGTCTTACCTTTATCAGTGCTTGTACCGTGGAGGTCCCAGCCAACTCGTCGCTGCCGGTCAACTGGCCACTCGACGTCGTTGAGCACACGCATTTCGTCACTGGCGACGAATTGTTACTCAGCTGCGACTTCGCTGTGATCGAGCTCAACAACGTATCAAACGCTGTGCTGCCTCTTGGGCCCATTCCAGAGCTATTCAAATCGTCGATACCGAAGGTAAATACGCCATGGGCGAGAAGCTCAGGTTGCAAGCAGCTTCCACATCCTAAAATTGTAGAAATTGAACAAAATTCAGAATTAATCAGCTGCTGGATCCGGTGACTATCGAACACAATTGTCACATCCTCGTTTCTATCAGCTAATGAATTGTGGAATGAATTGCAAGGATTATTGGGCTCAGAGAAGAAAATCTGGCATTCCACAAAAAGAAACACGATGGTGAAGCTGCTCTGCGCGGTGGTTGGAGTCGGGAGCGTCTTCTCTGTGGACATTGAGCTCAGCGAGATGGTCGGTGATCTGAAAGAGAAGATCAAGGAGGAGAAGCCCGGTTTGATCTACTTTGATGCAGATCTGCTGAAGCTGTATCTCGCGCGGGAGGGTGACACTTGGCTAAACTCGCGAGACGCAGACATCAAGGCGGTTAAGGCGAAAAAAATTCCAGACCGAATCAAAAACCTCATGCAAGAGCACTTGCTACTGGACGAGACGTGCAGACTGAACAATGATGAATACTTCGGTGACAACCTCGAGCAAGTAGACAGAGACATCCATGTGCTGGTGGACTGTCCGGATGAGCCGGATCAAGGCATCAAGTACAAGCGTAAGTGCGTTATTCTCCCCCACAACTACTGTAACATGGTTTTGATGCAGAACTACTTGATGATGTCAGGTCAAGATGGATTCGATGGTACTTTGATGGAGGATTGGTTATCATGGCACTTGTCATGGTCTTCTCTACAGTCGCTGTTTACTGTGGAAAAGGAGGAGGAGGTGCGTAAACGCTACTACACTCACTGTAGTTAATAGCGTGTTGGGATCATTTATAGGGATCATGGAGTTCCGGAGACGACGCGTCAAGTCAAAGATACCACTTGCGCACAGACGGTGGGGGCCTGAGTCGATTACCTTTGGATTTGAGTAGTGATGATAGGATTATTTCGCTTATTTGGTTGCGTCTTAATGTTAAGAGGATATCGTTTGTATACATGGAACGCACATCCATTCTGAGAGTAACTGCCGCATCCATTTTGTCTGATCCTTGAATTGAAATCCATAGTCGCTCCGAGCCAACGCCAACGCATACTGAAACAGACCAACGAAAATAACCGAGAAGACCACAGGTCTCTCCCCACTTATCTTCCTTTTCGACGACCAGGAAGTCACAACCGGCGGTGCATATTTGCACATCAATCAGAGCAGCCTCATGACTCGGCGTAGTTTTTTGCCTACCGGTACACTCGGGTGTTCGAGTCTTTGAGTCCCTACCGTCCGTCCTGCATTTAAACCTTGTTGTATTGCATCTGCTGGCTGAAGGATAGACTTGTCTGCACCCGTGTCTGGACACATTCAGATCCCCACGGCTCCATTGATCAGACCTGGGTACTACTCGTCATTTAACACCTTGCTCACTTCTTTCTCTGGGTCCAGCGATCTCTGTCGACGGTTTCCCTTCAGCTGCACGCTTGACTTTCCAAGCCTTATTCTTATGTGACCTGGCTTCTTTCTTTTCTTCAGGTGCGGCAGTTGGGCTATCTCGTAGCCAACGTTCACCCTTGTAGTGAAGACGTCCTGTCCGCGGTGGCGGAGTGTATCACGTGTCGTGTTGTGCGCCCCCCCCCCACTTTTCCGAGGTTCGGCTGTTGGATGCCCTCTTTTGAGCTGCTGTCTTTCCACTTCTGCGGCTGCTTGTCTCAGTCAGCTTGCCTAAACCGGTTATAGCAGGGCTGCTGCAGGCGTGTAAAGCTTCTGATAGTTGGTACGAATGTAACCAACTCTAGCATTCCCTTAACCACGTCACTTAACATTGTCAGCGAGAATATATTCACCAGAATGTTGGTTCTCTGCTTCATACAAGCCGCGTAATCCTCGTCTTCCTTGATGTCAAAAGGCGAAACTAAGTAGCCACTCGACTGTAGTGTAAGGATACGGCAAAATCAATGTATCTCAATAATTTATATATCAAACAAAATGAAGTGTCCTGCAATGATTGTGTTATACTTCGAAGTATAATTTTAAATATATTTCGGGCGATAACGAAAAGTATTTAAATGTATTACGATAGCATTCTCCATTTCAACATCACCGGATAACGGATACCGTGGACGCCATGGCGACGGCCTCAGGCCCGACAACGCAGGCGCGCTTCATCGTGACACTAGATGGGTACGTGAGTCGCGGAAGGGCCCCACCCGATTCCGTGCCTCGAGATCACGCTATGCTGCAAGACTTGCTGCGTATTTGGAGCAGCGCCTCAAGTGTGTGAACATGTTGATGCTGCGTCGCATCTTTGCTACTTTCCTCAACTAACACGAGAACACGTTGGTCCCCATGATGCAACACGGCTGTAACATCATCACCATGTACCCGGTGCTGAGCAGCAGCTTCCAGAGACGTCGTGAAGCGGCACTTCTCCTTGCCAAACCAAAGCATCATCTGGACACTCGTGGGTGCGTCTTCCTGTATCTACAGCAGCGCGCAGCCACTCGGAACATGGCGCTACTTAAAAATTTGTTCCTTGAGTTCGTGTACAAACGGGAGACGTCGCTAATGGCGTTCGTGGAGAGAGGGTGCCAAGTGATCAGTGTCATCCCCTTTGAACTGCCGCACATGACGCAGCTGCCACCGCCTCCAGCACCTCAAGAATATCCTTGCGTCGTGGAAAATGCAACTAAGCAATTGCAAGTTGCGGCGAAGAAAATATCAAAGAAACGGAAGCGCAAGATTGCGCCAAAGCCGTCGACAGCAGTAGCATCGACGCCCGCCGTTGCAGATGAAGAAGCTCCCTTGATCACGCAAAAGAAGACGAAAGGGAAATTGAAACAAGCTGGGAGTCGACTGCAGCAGACACCGTCCGACACTCGTGCTGAAGCGGAGTTTACGACCAAGTGTAGACGCACAACCAGCAAGAATGCTAGTGTGGCACCTGCCTCTAGTCCTGTTGAATCGTCCCCAAAGCTCGCTAGACCGACAAAGGAAACTACGAAGCCACCGCAGCAAACAGCCTCTGTTGCTGCAACGGAACGTGACTCTGTTGGGACAGAGACCTCTGCACTTTCTACTATTTCAAAGTCAAAGCGCGGCAAAAAGATATAGACTAGAACTACGTCGTCGAAGGATGCTACGTCCACAGCTGTACCGGAATCGGTCGGATCGGATGTGACAAAAGTTCCTAAGACTCCAAATCGTGGAGGAAAGTCGAAAGCAACACAAGATGCAGTTTCTGAAGCCACAACGGAAGTTCTCAAACCTGCCGTGCCTCAAGCTGTACCACCCGGAACCAAGCGCTGCAGGAAGTCAAAGACTAGCAAAGTGTCCATGCAGGCTGTTGTCTCTGCAGCCGTCTCGGATTCGGCTCAACCTGCTGCGACGGACACTTCTACGCCGACTCCGAAGCGCGGGAGGAAGTCAAAGACCTGCACTTTATCGCTGCAAGATGAGGTCTCTGCAGCTACGGATACTACGTCATCAGCTAAGCCCATGCGCGACAGGAAGGCTAAAAGCAACCCAGTGCAACTACAGGAGGCAGCCTCTGTACCACAACTGGTGGAATTTGTCGTGAAAGACGCTCTAACGACCGATGCAAAGTCACCCCCGAAGCATGTGAGAATGACAAGGGCCAGTACAGCAGTGCAACAGGATGCAGCCAATGTGGAATCTACCATGACGGTAGCTTCCCCGACCCCAAAGAGAGTGAGAAAGCCAAAGACTACTAAGACGTCACTACAAGATGCAGAGTCGGTAGCTGCAGCGCCACCTGCGAAGTCTGCTACGATGGAGACTTCAAAGGCTACCCGGAAGCGTGGCCGACCATCCAAGATAAGTATTGTGTCAGCACAGGATACATCACCTGTAGAAAGCCAAGGGCTGGCACTGCGTCACCACGTAAACTTACAACCTTTGCAGCTGCAACGGCAGCGGTGGAGTCTGTCGTGACAAAAGTTGTGTCACCTAAATCGACTCCAAAGCGTCGAGACAAGTCAAAGGTTGCAACGGTTTCCGCCTCTGTAGCCACACGGATACCAGGAGAGCCTGCTATGACGAACACTGCACAACCTACTCCGAAACGTGGCAGAAAAGTGAAAGCTAGCACTGCGTCACTGCAAAACGCAGATTCTGCCACCATGGAAGTTGGAGATGCGGCTCCAGTGTCCTCAACTGAACCAGTCGAGCGTCAAGTTACTAAGATAGCCACCTCTGTGGCCACGCCGGAAGTGGTGAGCGCTGTGGAGACAGACGCCCAACCCGCTGCTATATCGACTCCAAAGCGTGGTAAGGAGTCACAGACGCAGATTGCAGCCACGTCGGACACTGTAACGTCTACCGTGAAACGGGGTAGAAAGCCGAAGATTAGTTCTACGCTACTGCAAGATGTCGTAGCCACGACTGCAATGGCGGAAGCGGTCACGATAGACGCCCCGCCGCCCACTACAAAACCAACTCCAAAGCGTGGGAAGAAGCCTCTAGCGCGCACTTTACCACAGCAAAAAGAAGCTACAACAACTGAGATGACGCATGGCGCGTCACCGGGCTCTCCGACCTTCTATCACTACGTAACGTAGGTGCCATAAGCACAGACTTGTAGGGCAGTAGGTGTAGAGCAAGTAGGAATAGAATGTAAGACACGTGAGTGCCGGGCAAAGTACCACGACAGGACCACGGAGTTCTGGTGCTTGCTGCCTCTCACTCGTTGTGCACGCAGCACAGCAAAAGCAGTGAGAGTGAGAGCGGCCAGCACCTGAACCTCCATGTTCCGCAAAGTTAGATTAGCACATACTCAGTCTAAGATAGTCTATAGAAAGCTAAGTAGTTCACCATCACCTGCAACGCAGTTGCAGTTGCTCACCGCCACCAATGTCGTCCTTCATACAGTCCTTGGTATCTTCCGCACGCCGCTCGCACGTGAGCGCGTTGCAGACCGGTACGCCGGGATGCAGTACATGCATAGACACGCGTAGGATTGTAGGTTGGATCGGTAGTACTGGTATTGCCAGTGTCTTGGGCTGTGGCAATGACGTCTGGCACTGGACACTGGCAGACCGTAGCAAGTAGCATCTCACAGTAGCAGGATAGCATCTCACACTCCCACTTGATCTCGGCGATGCAGTGCCGAATCGACGCGATCACATCGCTTCATCCGTACACACACCACTGAGAATAGTCGTACGATAGCTACCACCACCGTAATTTGCTAGCTGCATAGTCCCCCACTCGAATCGCACATGTCCGTAGTCCAGCGCAGTTGATTGCATGCTAGTGTTGTGGTACAGCCACACGAAACTGGTTCTTCCAGTCGGCACACAGGCACACTACATGTCATCGTCGTCAGTAATGTCTAGTCCGTCGTTCTTGACCGCATCGCAGGTGACGCAGTCAAGGTATCATGCATCGCAGTTGACGCAGATGTAGCCTCTTCATTTACAGTGGCGGCCATGTTACTGTCTGCCACGATAGGCAGTACCTTCAGCATCTTTCGGAATCGGGAGAACTTGACCACCGCAAGTGGTTTGGTCATGATGTCCGCCACCATGTCCTCCGTCCCGATGTGTTGCGTAATGATCCGTTTTAGTTCCACGTTCCGCCGCACCATGTGGTATTTGTTGTCAATGTGTTTTTGCTTGCTGTGCTTGCCGGGTTTAGTCGTTAGAGAGATGGCTCCCTGATTATCTCCGAGTAGTACAGGTAGTGCATGTTTCCACACTAGTTCTCGGCAGAGCCCTGCAAGCCACAGCAAGTCCTTTGTAGCTTCAGCCATTGCAACGTACTCAGCTTCACATGTACTCTGAGCATTGATTTCTTGTTTCCTCGATGCATAGGAGACAACATTGATGTCCATCGTCGTCACGTATCCACTGATGCTGCGGCGGTCAACTGAATCATTAGCATAGTCAGCATCCGAATAGCAACTCACACGTAGGTCACTTGCTGACGCAACATCCATCACCAGACCAAAGTCACGTGTA